ATATCCTATTGCTCGAAATGTTTCAATTATTGTATACCCGGATAAATGCGTCGTTTTTTTAACAGTGTAAATTATATCTACCGGTGACCTCATTCGAGAGGCTTAATGTGCTTTTCGTTATGAAGTCGCTTGAATGCGTAGACCGATAATTCACATTATTAAAAAAAATTAAATAAAAAACAACTACAAAAACAGAGTGTTTACTTAAATATTAGTATCTACTAAAATAACGTTGAGATTAATAGGAAATACAATTATATATATATATATATATATATATATATATATATATATATATATTCAGCGTATGAATGATAAATTGTCTAAATTGCGCAAAAATGAAAATAACACCACTAACATCTCATTTTAACAGATATATTTACCAAAATTACACAAAAACTATCTTGAAATACTAAAGAGTAAATTTATTCAATAAAATCGCTATTGGCTTCAACCACGAGCACTTCGGAATCTCCTGCATCTCTTCTGGACGGTCTCCTTGTTTAATTTGGTGACTGTTCAGCGTGGCTTAGAGATGGCACAAAGCGAAAGTGTGGAGCACTCAGTGAGGATCAAACTCATTACTCAGTTGTGCCCTTTCAATGTGGCGTAATCGTCAGCTAGCTTGTCTCGTTAGGTCAATCACTTTTGAGTAGTGAGTTCGATCCTCACTGAGTACTCCTAACTTTCGGGCTTGTGCCACATAAATTATTATATATATTGATTGTGGCGGATTTCACAGGAGTACAAAATGAACACAACATGGCGAAAGAACTGACTAACGTCGAAGTGCCTGACTATTTGAAAATGAATCAGTTCTGTAAATAAAAATGAACATACTGCAGTCAGTTGTTTACGTGTGTCTGTTGAGATTTATTTGTGTTGATAACAGTTATAGCAACTACATGTTGCTATTACTTCTATAAATAATAATAATGATAATAACAGTAAAAATGGAACAGATACAAATATTGGCACACTGAACCACCTGATTTTGAACTCCATAAAACATATTAGAGCGATGAGCAATGGCACATATTACGAGGACTTTTTCTTCCATGTGACGTCGGCGATCATGGCTCTCCACAACTTTATATAAAGTTTAAACAATATTCGTCTTGTTTCTCTTCGTCCCTGTTCATGTTCTACTATTCATTTACACAAGCTTTTTCCGTAATTTAATATGAAAATGGCAACTGACTGACACGAAAAGGTTTATAAGAGTGTGGATGTATTTATGTGACATGATTTGGATCTGTTGGTTTACATTAACGCATTTTTGCCCGGCGATCTGCATGTAGTATTTCAGGATCCATTCATGCACCTCCAAAGCGACGGGTTACCCCAGCAGGATAATACGCCATGCATTGTTTTAGAATTTGAGGAGTATTCCGGAAACTTTCGACAAATTTTCTGCCCCTCTTCCTCCTCTGTTAAAACACTTCCCTGATATTTAAATTGTTGTACATGCTTGATTTTGGTATATCCAATTTGTTTACGAGGCTCACCCGCGTATAGACACTAATACGTTTATAAAGACATCAAAATAAATACAAAAAATATGAAGCGATGGTAAAATTCTTTTTGGATGACAAGTTGATCGTCATTTTTTATTGGATTGGTAATGTTCCATTTTCCTTCAGGATGTTAGCAATCATGGCTCTCCACTATTTCCTGTCCTTTGTCATTTTGTTATCTCTCCTAAACCTTAGGTAGGTTATGCGTTAGTTTCCTCTGTCCCTCTTGCCTTCAATCTGTATTGTGAGTATCAAATTTTCTAAGCCCTCTTTCCTCATTATTGATTTGGTAATTTTTGTCCGAAATTATCCAGATAATTATTATCTGAAATTGTCCAGATAAATATCCGCACCTTCATTGTTTTTATCGCAACTTTTTTCTCGTTTACGGATGTTGGCCGAAACGCTGGGAAAAAAGAACGAAGATAAGAATATTATTCCAAACAATGTACAGAATAACTAGAGAACTGGAAAACCTTTATTCACATACTTGCTGATTTTTGGATATTTCAAAACAACGTGAAATAGCAAGCAAAATAAAACAACCACTGAAATACCAAAAGCTAGTCTTCTTTTAAATCAGATAATGCTGTCTTATGGTGGGATTGGAAGAGATTTCTCTTGTACGTGTTATTTCCTTAGAATCAAAGTATTCATTCGAACAAGTGCTGTTCCAAATTAGACCAACTGAAAAAGAAATCTACAAAATAGGTGCAGAAAATGCCAGAGAAATTACTTTTTCTGGTTGTATCGGCGTGATAATTCTAGTCACAACAGACGTCTATTTGTAACTGCTCGAAATAATTGTAAACGGGCCCTCAAAGAAACTAAGTCTTTGTTTACTAATAGAATGAGGCACCGTATAGGCTTTAATAAGTTTGGCTCCCATGACTACTGGCGGCTCTTTAATAGTGTGTTAAATAAGAGTAAGTCTTCTATCTCTCCTCTCTTCACTCAGTTTGAGGTATTATCATCATCTGCTATTAAAAGCAAAATGTTTTGCTCGTAAATTCTTTTTTAATTCTACTCTTGACTCGTCTGGAATACTTTTCACTTAGAACTGAGTCTCTGTTGAGTGATATATATATATATATATATATATAACTCCATCCATGGATTCTGATATCATTTCTAAACTGAATCCTCACAAAGCGTGTGGACTTGATGCTATCCCTGAAATAGTCCTTAAGAAATGTGACCATGAACAGTCTCATATTCTCTCTAAATTCTACAATAAATTCTTTGCTGCTTCTTGCTTTCCTGCATATTAGAAATCCTCTGCTGTAGTTCTAATCATTAAGACCTCAGCGAACTATCGGCCTATTCGAATTCTAGTAAGTCTGATCGGTTTGATAAGCTGATCTAAAAATGACCTACAAACTGTTGTTAAATGAGGCAAAAAGTGGTTTGTCAATTTTAACGCTTCAAAAACAAAACTACTCTCTTTTATTCATATGAGAGAACCCCTTTTAACCTTCCATCAGCATGGTTGATACTAACCTCCAGGAGAGTGACTCATTGTGTCTTCTCGGACTAACGTTTTCAGCAACAAGTAGTGGAAAGCGTATATTGAATCAATTGCTAAGTCTGCAACTAAGAAAGTTGGTTCACTATGTCGTGCTAGACATTATTTTCGCTAGAATCTTACACATCTATAAGTCTACCATTAGTTCTTGCTTTGAATATTGCTACCACATTTGATCTGGTGTTCCTGCTATATATTTAGAAATTCTTAATAAATTCCAAAGAAGAATCTGCGATGTTATTGATCTTGATCAAGTATATTAGCTTCAGTTCCTTTCCTACCGCCGTAACGTAGTTTCCCTGTGTCTTTTCTATAAATACTTTCATGGTAATTGTTCTGATGAACTTTCTCCTATAGTACATAGACTTTATGAATTTAAGCGCAATAATAAACTCGTGGTAATAGATTTCAATTTACAGTTGAAATAGATGTAACCGTAAGTTCTATGCTAACTGTCGCACTTCTAATTTGTGGAACTCTCTTCCGGCTTCTTGCTTCCCAGTCAACTTTGATGTTCAAAATTTTAAATGCATTGTCAATTGTTATCTTTTGTCTTCTTAATTCTTATCCTTTTAATATCATCTCTCCTTAATAGTAGCTTTTCTCATATTCCCTAACACTCATTGACCACTTGTGTCTTAGTGGCTTTATTACATTGCTTGGGGTGAAATGATTAAAAGAAATTAAACTTCTGTCATATTTAGCAAATTAAAATGTTAACTTTTGTCAAAAGAATTATTTAAGTTAAATCCTTGATTGTTTACTCAAAGAACTATTTCTTTGTCGGACAACATTACTTAACCACTGGATTATCAAAAACTTTTCAAGAACAATGTTGATTCGGAAATGTACTTAGCAATAACTATTTAGGGACTGAGAAGGGATTTCGAAACACAGTCATTATTTGAATTGGAAACTTAATAGTGACAGATAGTACTCGATTTTCAGATGCTTTATAAAATTACCTGAGTATGGAATATATAATATACAGATCTATATATAGGACTTACAGTGAGTAATAGAATGTCAAAAAAAATCTAACGTTACGTGTTTCGTGCTGCGAAAGGACTTCTTCAGATTAATAATGGTTTTATCGATGGAATATAATATATTGATTTTAACCTTAATAAATTACGTTCTCTTTTAATTAAAATGAAATTCGAATGCAGCTGAAATTATGGTCAAACCTATTACGATGAATAACTAAAACAATGAGTGCATTGTCTGTGCATTTAGCTTATATATATATATATATATATATATATATATATATATATATATAGGTGCAAATTGTCGCCATTTTATATTTTTAATTTGACCCATGCGCGTTGTTTTTTTTTTTTTATTTTATCGACTGGAGGCAAGGATTATGAAAGCATTCACCAACTTAAACAAGGAGACCGTCCAGAAGAGATGCAGGAGATTCTGAAGTTGTCTGGAAGACGTGGTTGAAGCCGATAACGATTTTATTGAAACAGAATTATTTTTTATGATGTCATATTTTTGGAAGTAATGTAGAGTAATAATCTGTGAATCTTTTCGGCATTACAAATTTTGATGCTTTGTCTTTCTAAAATATATTTATTGCTTGTTATAACCAGATCTTGGCTAAGCTAACTAAATAACATTGTATCCAAGCCGTTTCCTTTATGTGAAACGTTTCCAAGGACTTCCATTTGAATTGAAGTTTGTGAGTGCCCAAAACATGGCTGATTCAAGTGAATATATATATATATATATATATATATATATATATATATATATATATATATATATATATATATATAGAGAGAGAGAGAGAGAGAGAGAGCTTGGGGCCTTCAGTTATGCTAACCCGGATCCACTTAAACAAATTTTGATGCACATTTCAACTTGTGGAGATAGAACAAATACTATTTCGTAAATATGATAAGGGATAAAAGATAGATTTAGTAAAAAACAAAATTCTTAAAACTTACTTGGTTCATGAAATTAGGTATTGGCTGTATAGAGCATATAATGACCTCTCCAATGATTTTGGTTAGTGTCCACCTGGTGCAGACGAGCCGCCAGTTTGTCAGGCCGTCATCAAGCATACGGATATGGATTCCTGTCCAGTGATAAAATCCCACCAAAATAATGAGCAACACAGTAGTAACTGTAATGGCTATTTCCAGAATGAAACCTATCATGTAAGTCGCAGAGAAGTATAATTCAATGTTGACAACCATCAGAATAACACCTGCCGCTGCGAACAGAAATTCGAAGTCGACAATCCATCGTCGCCGGCGAATGAGATCTTTGCGTCGGCGTAGACGTTTGCCCAAGTTGTCCAGATTGGACACTGAACTTTGAGGCGGTGGTGTGGATTCTTTTTCTCTATTGTGACTCTTGAGTTGGATTTCTTCAAAATATTTTGGGCTTTGTTTATAATTTTGGATAAGAGGTGTTTTTGTGTTCGCCATAATTCGAAAGTACTTCCTTTTCCAAGAATCTGAAAATTCTAAAGAAACAAAGTAGTTAATATATAAAGTTTTGAGAAAAAACTGCTATAAGATTTGTTAGGCATTTATTAAATTTTGTTTATTAAGACACAGCAGAGAGAATAATAGCAGATCAACCAGTGAGTATCGAATACTCATTACTAAACTGTTGTTCTGCGATAGGCATTCGTTTGCTAGCATTTAGTATACATTTCAGTATTATTTGGCTTAAAATATTTATTGTTTTTTTATAAGAATAATAGAAATTATTTATTTAATATATTTTCTGTACATCTGATATATGTTTGTAGAAAAAAGAATATAGAAAAACAAAATAAAAGGAACAACTTCAAATTTAAAAGAAAAACTCAACTTCAAATGAAAAATGTTCCACTTCAAATTAAAAAAAAATGAATTTTTAAATCGAATTGAGGAATTTTGGAATGTCGTGAAGGCTGCTATGAAATGCCGGATGATTGAAATGTTTGAAACTATGCTGTCTTCACAATCAACAGAGTAAAGATTACGCTCGAATAAGCAATTGATGAGACGACGTCGGCAATTACTCCACAATTGTGCAGTTACGTACAGAGGCATTTTGCTCCAACCTTGGCGTAGCAAGATCTCTAAATGAGTGACACCGTGTGAACTGATTAATCTTTAATTTTCAGTCTGTGATTATATAGTTCATTCATTTGTTTGCAAATCAATACATTATCATTTCGCACTTATAAAATTTTAGTATGAAATTCAGCTCCTGTTAATTTGAAAGTCAGTGTTTTTAATTTGAATTTCATGTCTTTTACAGTTGATTTTTTAATTTGAAGTTGAACGTTTTTAATTTGAAATTGAAAGTTTTTTTTTTATTTGAAATTAACCTTTTTTAATTTAAGGATAAAAAGGTGTAGATAGGTATTGAAAGGCTGAATATGCAGTCTTATATCCACTTAAGTAGAGCAAAAGTCGATCAAACATACTTTTCATAATCAGCAGAATAAATCAGATGCTACTGTGGACTCATCCATTATCCTTACCTTTCCAACCTAACAAAAGCAGAGTCCAAAACGTACGCCTACGTACCTAAAAGCTTCGACCAATAAAAACGGCAGGAAACGAAGCAAGCAACCCCATTAGTCAATCACTTTAAGTTCACGTGCAAAACTGAAATTGCGCCAAATTCAAGTGAGCCACCCGGTGGATATATAAGGAAAAACGTTTGAACCTTCCGAGAAGCGGAGTAGCTGTAATTACCAACTTTCAAGATGTAACATTTCACCGACTCCCGTCTTAGTCATCGCTGACCAGACGTTAAAGAAAATTACCAACTTCATACAGTCAGTCTTAAAAATACAATTAAGGGTAGACTACTCCAAAAACTCTTTCACAAAACCACTATCCTTCATATTACAATCTTCGACATAAACAAGAAAATTATCAAACAAGAGACATTCAATATCTAAACCATACCACATACAATTACGCACACGACACACACAGATTTTGACCAATTGTAAATGATGATTTTGTATATAAATGTTGTATTGTTTCTTAATTCTATGCCTCGTTTTTCTTGTTTACATTTAAAGTTTTATTCGTTTATTTGTTGGGGATGCAGGACCGAAAAAATATCCTTCTGATTCTTTCTTAAATAACTAACAATCCTGCACGTCCCCTACACTACTACAAATAGTTTTATTAGCAATAAGTATATACATTCCTATCATTCCTACTATTATTAATTAGATTTACTGTTGCAATGAAAATTACTACAGTGGGTATAGTAAGTATTCATAAGGGAATAATGTTAATAATTTAACATTTATCCAGTAAATTTCTTCATAAGTTATCTGATAAGTTCCAATTACCCTAAAAATAATTTATAATATAGGATATGATACACACAAAATGTGAAGTAAATACGTTTATTATTGAAGGAATTATATAACAATATTTGAGAAACACGTGATAAAAATGTACGTTAAACAACCTACCACAAATAATTGAATATCAGCAATCTACGAGGGATATTTTTGTTCTATTACATTTATCAAAAGTTTAGAGGAGTTACCGAAATATGATTCCCAAGTTGGGTGGAGCTTTTATTATATTATTTACTTTTATGCTTCTATTTCATTCTTATTCTATTCTTTACTTTTATTCTATTCTGCTATTCTTTTATGCATGTATTTCATTCTTATTCTATTCTTTACTTTTATTCTATTCTGCTATTCTTTTATGCTTCTATTTCATTCTTATTCTATTCTTTACTTTTATTCTATTCTGCTATTATTTTATGCTTCTATTTCATTCTTATTATATTCTTTACTTTTATTCTATTCTTCTATTATTCTACTTTAGAAGAGACTAACCATAAACTGTAGAAAGACAGAAAGTACGGTTGTCAGCACGAGAAAAAACCCGAGATGAAAACTACGAATTGGAGATGTCAGCATCAAATAAGTACAGAATTTAACTTGGGAAGTGTTTTTATAGAGGATGGAAAATGCAACACCGAAATCCGAATGCACATTGGATTGGTGGAAGATGCATCCCAAAAGCTAAATAATGTGCTAAGAAACAGGAAAATTTCGTTAGAAACAAAGAAAAGTGTTGAAATATTAGATAATGTCAATTGTTTTGTATGGCAGTGAATATTGGTGAATCTTTTCATCTGTGAAGAGAAAAATGGAAGCAACAGAAATGTAGTTCTACAGAAGGATACTGAGAATGACATGGAGGGAGCGCGTAAGTAACGCAAAAGTATTAAAGGAAATGAAAAAAAAGACACATACTAATGACTACAAGTTATAGGAGGTTGTGGAGTGCCATGTTTACCCATGTCCTGAAAGGCATGCCATCTAGAGGTAGAAGAAGATTGCGAAGGCCATGGAAGAAGAAAATTGATCTTTTCAATGTCAATGCATTCAGTCATCAGCTTTTTGGAATAATCAATCAATTGCGAGAAAACAGAATGCATAGCTGTTAGCAAAAGGAATACTCCAACTTGAAAATTACAAACTGGAAATACAAAAATAAAACCCAGTACAAAAATTTATATATCTGGGAAGTGTTTTAACAGAGGACGGAAAGTGCGGCACTGAAATCCGAAGGCGCACTTGGATAGCAAAAGAGGCATTGCAAAAGCTAAGCAAAGTATTAAGTAATAAAATAATCGTTAGACACAAAGAAAAGAGTGCTGAATTTTTTACGTGATATCAGTCCTCCTCCATAGCAGCGAATTACACATGAACAAGAGACTTGAATCAACAAAATGGGGTTATACAGAAGCATGCTGAGAATGCCATGGACCGAACATGTGAGCGACGACAATGTTTTAGAGAAAATGGAAACAAAAAAATAAGACACTTATACTTAACATCAGCAAGAGACAATTATAGTTAGTAATTTTTAGTGTACATAATGAGTAAAGACGGCTTGGAAATTTGATACTTACAAGACATATTGAAGGCAAGAAGGACAGAGGAAAACAATACATAACCTCCATAGCAAATTTGAGTAAATGGATGCTTGAACAAGGTTTAGAAGAGATAACAAAAAGAGAAAAATTATTAAGAGCTAAAAAAGCACTAAGAGACAGGAAGTTGTGGAGAGCCATGATCACCAACGCCCTGAAGGGACACGACATATAGAAGAAGAGATTTCTAGTTGAACTCTTCTGATTATCTTTAAGAATATGTTCTTTTCATAGATTCTTCGTTTCGCACAAGCTCCCCAACATATTTTCACTAAATCAACATTATAACATTATGGAAACCTTTTCATGCTTCACTACCAGAGTGATATTATTCAGCAAATAACTTCTATTATTTGTTTGCTTGAAATTTTCAGCTTGATATTATTAGAACGAAGATCTTATAAAAAAATGCATAATCTAGCATTTTATCTGGCAATATTTCATCTGCTGTTCAAACGCACTGGGCGCAATAAAGTGGTTGTCCTTGGTCTATAAACTTTTAATTCTACACAGTGTAATATATTCTTTACCGTACTCTGAGTAACATTCACGCAGTATGATTTTGAATTATTATTTACATCTTCCCGTATCATTTAATGGTATCCTTGAAATTATCATTAAAAAGTGTGCTCCCGAACTGACTCCTGTTCTCTCTAAACTGTATAATAAATGCCTCGCTACTTCCTGCTCCCCTGCCTACTGGAAGTCATTATCTATTGTTCCAGTTTTTAAGAACTCTGATGAGCCTTCCAGCTATCTTTCTACTTACTTTCTATCTCTTTTTAGGAAACTTCTAGAAGCCTTACTCAATGCTAAATTGGTTCATCATTTCTCACCGCAAGACCTTTTCTCAGACAAGCAATATGGCTTTCATTTCTCCAGGCCAACTGCTTATGTACTGACGATATTTGTGGAAAGAGTTTAGCATGCTCTAGATAAAAACGGTGAAGCCAGGGCTGTTGCATTGCATTGGACATATCGAAAGCCTTTGACAAGTTCTGGCATTCAGGTTTTCTCCACAAGCTGAAAAGTTACGATTTCTTTTTTAACTGATCCAGTCTTTCCTATCAAATCGTGAAATGAAAGTTATCCTGAATGGTCACTCGATTAGATCCTTTCGTATTAACGCAGGTGTCCC